TAAATACCTACTAAACTAGCTAAATAAGTTATAATAACTTTAGAGCTAGTCTATATATAGATAATACACCTATTAGTACTTAAATTATAGCGTGCAGCCTAGACCTATTAGAGAATTAGCGTAGGGAGGGTAGAGATTCCTAAAATTAGAAAACTATAATTAAATATTTTATCTAGCTAGATATCCTTAGTTCTTTTCTTTTAATAAACTTTATATATATATATAGTAGTAATATAAATAGTTAGCTATAAAAAAATAGCTTATATAAGCTTTATTATAAGGTAGTGTTAAGATTTTTATAAAAACCTATATTAGGCTAGATCTTTTAGTTTTAGAGGTATTTACTTACTTTAAACTTATATATAGCTTTATTTAGTATATATTATCTCTCTCCTAAGAAGGAAGTAGAGATATCTAATATATATAACTTTATTTAAAAGGTTTTTTATTTTTTCTTACCCCCTATCTTATACCTACTATTATAGTATTAAATCTAGGCTGCACGCTATAATAACTTAATAGCTACTAACTAATATACTAATAAGTAAGTGCTAAAAGTTATATAGTATATTACTAACGTTTAGCTATTAATCTATAGGTAAAGGTAAGTTTTACCTAAGATTTTATTTTTTACTAATAACTATTTTATTACGTAAACTATAGCTATAAAATTTTAATAGCTATTAGTTTATATATATATCTACCTAGGTTTAAAATTTTAAAAGAAAATATTAAGGTTTGGCTTTGTTATTAAGATAATACTCTTTGATGTTCCTTGCCAAGAAAAAGTGGCCGCTTCGGTGGGGTGGCCGCTTCGGTGGTGCTTTACGTTAAGCTATATTATAAGATAGTATTAGGATTTTTATATTAATCTATACCTTCTAAGCTAGATCTTTTAGTTTTATAAGTATTTGCTTACTTTAAACTTATATATAGCTTTATTTAGTATATACTATTCTTCTTATAAGAAAGAACTAAAAGTTTCTAATATATATAACTTTATTTAGAGGGTTTTTTATTTTTAAACCCTCTACCTTCTACCTACTATATTACCTTTAAATCTAGGTTATAACTATCTTTATTATAAAGGTTTATTTATAAGAGATGATTTATACTACTTAAATAGGCTTAATATATATAATAAAGAGTTTTATTCTAAAGAAGAAATAGGCTCTATTAATATATATAATAATTTAGATTTATTTAAAGATCTAGAAGATTCTAATTTAACTGAATTAGAATATCTAGAATCTTTAAATAAAACTAGAAATAATATAGCTATAAAAGAGAATATAGCTATAAAAGAGAATATAGCTATAGAAGAGAATATAGCTATAGAAGAGAATATAAATATAGAAGATAATATAGATATAGATATATAACCTTATTTCTATATTTATATTATCTTTTATATCTATATTAAGTTATATAACTATACTATTCTATAGTTATATCTTATTATTAAACTAATAAACCTTATAGTATATTAGTTTATATTCTTTTTAATCTTTTATTTATTAAATAATAAGTCTACTTTAAAGCTACTTATTAATTATATCTCTTAGTTAGTTATCTATAATATTAATAAAGTTATTTTACTTATTCTTTTTCTATATTATTAGATGTTTTCTTTCTTCTATACTTTACTATTTAGTAATTACTAAATAGTAATTACTAGGTGCTAAGCCTAATCAGGCGTTACTATTTAGTTATAACTAAATTACTTAGTAATTACTAAGTAAACCCCCATCCATGCATTGCCCCTTTCAACTAATTAGAGAGAGTAGTAAGGAGCACCATAGTAAGCAATAGGGAGCACTACAGTAGTGGCCCGTGGTAAGGCTACCGCAGGGCTAATGCAGGCTAAGCTCGCACCCTAGTTTTATCTAGCCGTATACAGATTTAGCGGACGGGTGATGTATTGCTAGTATAGGACAGGCATCTTATAATGGGTGACTTTCAGAACTAATTAGGTCACATGCTTAGCAAGATCCTAGTTTTGGCCAATCAACGATAGATTGTCATACAATTTACCGAGCACGTGACGGAATTAGTTCTAAAAGTTGCCCTTTGTATGTTAGCTAATTGTACCCTAAGTCTCTAATTAGTAGGGCCTTTAGTGTTAAGGCGTTTAGTAGTGAAATACACAACCACGTAATTAATTTTTAGAGGTAAATAGTTAACTAACAACACTAGAAAACTATCGTAAAAACGCGTTTTAGTAGGCCTAAGTAGCCTTACTTTTATGGCCCTCCAACACTAATTACTACACTACCTCTAACGTTAACACTAATTAATATACCACCTCTATTATGTAAGCGACCGTACCATACCAGCAATACATCACCCGTCCGCCAAATCTGTATACGGCTAGATAAAACCAGGGTGCGAGCTTGGCCTGCATTAGCCCTGCGGTAGCCTCACCACGGGCCACTACTGTGGTGCTCCCTATTGCTTACTGTGGTGCTCCTTACCACCTCCCCGATACTCTCAGCCGGTAAACCCCATCTAATTCCATAACTCCACCATCATTCATAGAATATTATTTTCCATTTACAGAAAGCACTTGCAGCCTCAGGGTGTTCCCAGTGCCTGATTGGGTCGCGGCGTTAGCGCAAACGCCGAGTTTTTCCCAAAGACACGGCGGCCGTCAAGGTGGGGCTATGGATGCAGTCTCTCTGAGGGAGGTAGAGGCGAGCGAAGGATTGGTGGGCGGAGACACCGGATTTGTGACGTTGATGTTAGCTCCGGTATGGGGCGCGTTTTGGACCGGGTTATCGTATTGGTGTTGGAAAGGATGGGAAGGGTATGTTTGCGCCCGGAGTAAACATGTAGGTTTTGAAGTGCGCTGGACACCGCACATGGCTCTGAGACCGTGGGTTTTCCCGTCTGAGAGTCTAGACAAAGCATATTGACACCACTTTGGATGAACTTTGCTACCTTTTTGTCCTCTACTATAAGTGAAGAGATTGAACGCTTTTGTCTTTTACGTTGTGGGAAACCATTTGTCCTATATAATGGTGTATAGTATTTGGTACAATGGATAGGTTTTTGGTATTTGCTAAGTGTTTTTTACAAAATTGTGGTTATCATACAGCACACCCTCGACAACCTCCACAACCTAATCCTCTCACAGGCCATCGCTCTACCTTCCTTTCTTCCCCTCAACATGTCCATTTCCACTTCCGTTCCCATTTCCTCTCTCTCTACCCTCCGTACCTTCAATATCCCTCAACACCGCGCGTACAGGCCACACAAAACCCTCCTCGATCCTGTCCGTCTTCCCCTCCTCTATCGTTACGAGGTACTCGACGAGTGCCATGCCTGTGTAAGCGCCGATGCCGGTCAATATGTGCCACCAGCCGTGTAGCTCAAAGAAGAAGCCCCAGGGTAGACCGAGAGCGTGTCGGAAACGGGTTACGGAGGAGCAAAAGTGGTAATCTATGTTCCAGACGAAGTAGCCGAAGAGGCCGGATGCTGGGGGGTCGGTTAGTGCGGCGAAGGTACCGTCGTGCTGTGTTGGAAAGAGAGATGTTGTGCCGTTGTGTCGAATCTGAGAAAATGCGCCTTTTGGTAGATGAATACAACACGGGTTAAAAAGAGATTCCACTCACTCATCCCACTACTAGCCATCCACCTTAACCTCCTCCTTGCCTCCTTATTCCTCACCCTCTCCCTGATCAACACCCTGATCTGACGTCCACACAGAAACACCATCACCGCAAAAGTAATGCGATGCACAGTGATTTCATCGGTCCAGCAATGATACACAGAGACCGGGATCACAGTACCGAGAAGAGCGAGCGTTATTATCATCCGCCGTGCGGGCGTGGCAGAGAAAGTGAGGAGTTGGTGAAGCAGCGTGCCTACGGCGACGAACATGGAGAGGTCATCGCCCATTTGCGAGTGGTAGTTTAGTGTTGCGTGGAACCAGGCTGAGAGTACACCGAGGCTGATTAGACCCCAGTAGGGGAAGGCGAGGGTGGAGAAGAGGCCGCCGTCTTTCCGGGGCTGGACGCGGCACAGGCCATGTGCGCCGTAGATTACTGTTTTTGGGTGAGTTGGTGGGATAGAGAGGGGGGACTACGGTGGGATACGCGTACCATATGTGAGGTTGGTGAGCGTGTTGATGAATTCGGCGATGTAGGGTGTGATGATGTAGTCCTTTGTGAGAGTGAGATTTTACTTCGGAAGATTGAACGCGGGACTAAAACCACATACCTCCTCACAGAAGCTGTATATAAGTTAGCAACCTTGAAGTTTTGGCACTCACGCTACGGTGGAATGCTCGCTCGCATATGAGACTTCCTGAGGTCGGACTTACTTCGCATTCGAGCTCGGTACACCCCAATACCCCTTTCCCGGACTCTTCATATATTCCCATTTGATATCGACCATGATGGGCGTTCGATTGAGAGATTGTGCACTGTAAAGGTGGTGGTGCTACTTTTTTGTACAGTTTTTGGTGAGCAGTGTCAAAGGCCTCGGCTCACCGATTCGTTCCCGAAGCTATGACCCGGGTCGGCACCCTAGTCCGGAAAAAACAGGCCTCCGAAGAAGACGCGGTAAACAGTCCTGATTGAGAAGGATAGTTGGAAGATGCGAGGTTGTCGGCCAGAATATGGAGACTTGCGAGGCGAACCCGTGTCCTTGTTGAGGTACCACAGCGAGGCTGGATGAAGTTCAAGCAGATATATCAACACCGACTGTGTAGTGATGTAGCAGGCCTAACTTCAAGGTAGAATCCCCTGTTGATTTTCTCTAACTCTCCTAAAATGTCTTTACTCCGTGTGTTGTTCACAACGATAATCGAGCGCACACGTGGTTGGAATTTGCTTGCCCACCTTGTGGGATTCGCGTTCTAGCCTTGCTAGCCTTTCCATATCGATCTTATAGAATGAATGAAGCATGAGAGAACATTCATTCATAGGCTAAAAAAAGACAAACTTGCTAACGCTAAAAAGCTGGAAGCAAAACAAAAATAAATAAATTGTTTCAATGGGTTTTGCCGGGAGTCGAACCCGGGGCCTCTCGCAATGTTGCTCATGGACACGAAGCCCTAAGCGAGAATCATACCTCTAGACCACAAAACCATTTACTGAATGTTGAGAATTTTTGGTTTATATATAATATATCTTTAAATAAATAAATCTAATCTTGAAGCACATAGAATTATTGGTTGAAAATGTGGCTCTGCTAGGGTCAGGGCGGGCCGAAAATGGCGGGGGCCGGGTAATGCCGAGCAATATTGGAGACTGGGGAAGAATCATATTTGTCACTAGCAGTTACTATGGCTGCTTCGTCAGGAACCGTCGCCTACATACTAGACGAGACAGACTCTCATATTGATTGCAGTACACGCGAATAGCTTGCTCTGTCTTTTGTAAAAGACGTTTCCAAATGTTATGTACGGATGTCACTGGCTGGGCAACGCAACGGAGGTTCTCGCTCCAAGATGCGATACCGCAAATGCTAGGGGAATCGCCTAATCACAGAGCAAGTACAATACCGCTCATAGGTACTCGCAGGCGTTTCCTCGAGCCTCAAATATAGCTAATACGTGCGAAAAAAATGATAATTTCGCAAAAGTCGAGCTCATACACGTTGTAGATGGGTGGACATGCGGAAACATCTCCGTATAAGTGTACTATGGTATGTACCTAAGCTCGGGAGGTTATGATGAGCGACGCGGCTCGTGCGCACAGAAACGGCCCCACTCCTTTGGTTTCATCATGACGTTGACGCCCCTCCCGTCCTCGGCATCCCAACCCCATGTCGGATGCACGATGCGATGCTGTCTGACTCCACATGGGATGGATTGTACAGCTACAAGGGAATATCATCATCTTTCACTTTGCTGGCTACCATGGTACCTTCAAGCGACGAACTCCTTCCAAAAGTCAAACTGCCATCACTGGGAGAGGGCACATTTAATGCATCTGATTGTTATCACAGCATTATAATGTCGTTGAAACAAGGTGTACAGCTACCGGTGCCAAGTTCCATGTCGATCTTGATAATCTCGCCAATTATTGCAACGTTGCTGCAAGATACCCCGGCTCGTTTGTTCTCTGAATCATGGCATAAACAGCTCGCTCCAACCATGCACCTCGGTCAGGCAGGATGGGCGTAGGTCGCGGAGTTAGTGTTGTAGTGAGGAAGCTAAGCTATAGGGAATCGCGCCGAAGCTCGCGCAGCTTATATAGAGACCATCGCCACATCCCATAGAGTACAGGTTGCTCGAGCTCATCCCCATAGTTGAACGCGTTAAGCTCTGCTGTACACCATGGGGTTCAAATTTCCCAAAATCTACAATGTTTACTTCCTGGCATGCGTTGCCACGATGGGCGGTATGCTGTTTGGTTTCGATGTTTCCTCCATGAGTGCTATTATTGGAACCAGCCAATATTTGTGAGTACTTCTGCAAGTTCCCTGCACGATTTCAAACTGACTTGACGGACAGGGAATACTTCGATAATCCCAATGGCATCGTCCAAGGCGCCATTGGCTCAGCCCTTGCAGCAGGTTCAGTCGTTGGATCCATCATCGCCGGTACCGTTTCTGACAAATTTGGCCGTCGTCTTGCTTTGGGGTTCGCCTGCTTGTGGTGGCTGCTCGGTACCGCCATTCAAGTTGCCTGTAATGGTCGTGGGATGTTGATCGCAGGACGGGTGCTCAACGGGGTCACTGTTGGCATCACTTCATCACAAGTGCCTGTCTATTTAGCAGAAATCTCAAAGCACTCACAACGAGGTGCTATCATCATCATCCAGCAATTGGCCATTGAATGGGGTATTCTTATCATGTCCGCCCCCTAGCTCGATCGGCGTTTGAAGGTTGCTAATTGGATACAGGTACTTCATCGGTTACGGTTGTTCATTCATCCGAGGCGAGACCGCGTCCTTTAGGACTGCTTGGGGTATCCAATTTGTCCCGTGCGTCCTCTTCATGATCGGACTCCCCTTCCTCCCAGAGTCCCCTCGCTGGCTAGCCAAAGTCGATCGATCGGAGGAGGCCATCCACATCCTTGCGAACATCCAAGCCGAGGGAAATCTTGAAGACCCCTACGTTATTGCGGAATACGAGGAGATTGTTACAGTCTTGAATGCAGAACGCCAGGCACCCAAAGCGTGGAGAAAGTTCGTCTACAATGGGATGTGGAAAAGAACTGCCGTCGGTTTTAGTGTCCAGGCATGGCAACAACTGTCTGGTGCAAACGTCATGACGGTAATGCTGATTGTTAAATATGCCCAGAACTCCTGCTGACTTCTTCTCAGTACTATGTCGTGTACATCTTTTACATGGCGAACCTGTCGGGCAACGTCAATTTAGTCTCCTCCGGTGTGCAATACGCACTCTTCATCATCTTCTCGAGCATAATGTTCTTCTTCGTGGATAAGATTGGCCGCAGGGCTCTTCTCGTGTACGGCGCGATTGCGATGGGTGTCTGCCATATGGTTGTCGGTGGCGTGCTCGGCGCGAACTACCAATACGTGCCTGGTAAGACAACTTGATCTTACTGACTTTAAGGAGCAAGCTGACTCTGTGCAGAGGGCGTAAATGGCGACAAAAATGTTGTTATGTTGGTGAGAGGGAGTCCGGCGTACACAGTTATTGCCTTCTCTTACTTGCTCATCATCCTGTATGCGCTCACCCTTGCTCCAATATGCTGGGTGTATGCCGCCGAGGTCTGGTCATTGGGGACACGCGCAAATGGCATGGGAATTGCGGCCATTGGCAATTGGCTCTTCAACTTCGGTGAGTTCAATCCGCTGCACGTGTTGGCCAAAATTGACGCTGTTTAGCTATCGGATTATTCATTCCTCCCGCCTTCCAGTCGATCAAGTGGCAGCTGTTCATTGTCTTCGGAACCTTGTGTTTTGCCGGTGCCATACAGTTTTGGTTCACGTATCCTGAGGTATGCCGACACTTCTGATGAATATCAGAGCATTGCTGACCGGCCATGCAGACTTGCGGAAAGACTCTCGAGGAAATTGAAGTCCTCTTCAGTAAAGCTGGACCGCACGCCTGGAAGACCAAGAAGGGACAATCTCGTCTTGATGCTGAGATGGAAGCCGTCGTAGATGCAAAGATCAAGGGGCAGGCAAGGGCTAGCCTTGAGAAGGTGCTTGCTGAGGAGAAGGCTGCGTTGAGTGGTGGGACTATCTAGATAGTCGTTACCCTTAGCATGTTTTTGTGGTAAAAAACCATGGATTACCAATCAAAAACCGTGGTAGCCACCTGCCTTGCACCAAAGCCTTGTTTATGTTCCGCACATGAAGAAAAAAAAAAAGAGAAAAAAAAGGGATAAGTGTCTTGGCTGGATATGTGCGGGAGGCGCATCGCGATCGCTTTATGCAGGAACGCTAACGATTTGCGGAATGGCGCCCTTGGCACGCGTCAAGTGATCTGAGCAACAATCTGTGACGCCATACGGAACACTGACCGCACCCTCGATATCTGGGATCGTCTCACGAGCCAAATGTCCGGAAGCTCTTCGCAGCTCTCTACACCCCCAGGGTCGACCTCTCAACGTCCAAAGGATGAGCTGGAACAGGAGACTCTCGATGAGCTCGACAGCGTTAGCCTGCGGGAAATTCTCGACCAGGATTCACGGCCAACGTTCGTGCTAGACTTGGACTCTGACTATCTCGACTATGAGGAAGGCATGAGAGATGACATTCGGCCCGTTTTCTGCAATATCGCACTACGACAACACGTCCGTTTGTTCGACAGTATCACAGCTCCTCACGTGGAGGTCGCCGACGATGCGGAAAATGAGACGACGCATCAGACGTTCAAAGTCTGGGCTACGAGTGTGACTAAATTTGATGACTCGAGAGATGTCTTCCCGCTCACCCTCATTTACAAAGACATGTTGTGGACGGGATCCACGATTCGACGACGATGGCGCGTTATTAGTGGAAATCAGTGCTACAACGTCTCGCAGCTACCCAGAGGTGCTCTCAAGGAAGGGTCACCCACAAGGCCGAATGCTGCCTCAAGCCAACCACGACGCTCTCCGCTCAAGAGTGCCCAACCTTTGTTAACATCCACGCCACAGCCAAGCATCTCGACGCTCGAAGTCACCCCTACGGTCCAAAGTAGTACTTTGGTTTCCTCCACGGTTCCTCCACTGCCCAAGGAACGGTCCGACAAGACTTCGGGCGATACTTCGAGCGGTACGATAGCCAGCGGCGCGTCCATCACTTTATCTTCGCCCGAGGCGGGTTGTCCTGACTGGACCGTCGAAAATCCAAAAGGCCAACTCTCTGAACATCTCATTTTCGCCCGGGGCATAGATTGGGCTGCTACACCTCTAGGGCCAATGTCTAGTTGGTCGGTGCAGTTTCGCGAGATTGCCAACCTAGTGATGAGGAATCCGCATCCAGTGTCGCTGTTCTGGGGTGAAGAGTTAACTATGCTGTATAACGAGGCTTACAAAAACGAAGTCGCCGGAAGCAAGCACCCAGATCTTATGGGTACTGGATTCTCAGGTCCTTTTCGCGAGCTTTGGGATTCCGTGGCACCGATATTCAGGGAATGTGCAAGGACAGGCCAGAGCGTTAGGATGGAGAATGACAGACTACCGATCGATAGATATGGGTATCTGGAAGAGACATTCTTCTCCTGGTCGTTTGTGCCTGTGTATGGTGGCACAAATAGCATTCTAGGCTTCTACAATGCTCCATTTGAGACCACGTATTCGACCATCAGCAGTCGAAGGCTTTTGACGCTGCGACAACTCGGCGAAAAGCTGTCTGAAGCTAGGTCCATTAAGCACTTCTGGGCGTGCGTCCTTGACGGCATCCGCGACAATCATTACGATATCCCATTTGCGCTGTTGTACTCCTTGGTAGACTCGGATGATGCTGATACGGCTTCTCATGGATCTGACAGTACCATATCGCGAAAAAGTTGTCTTCTTGTGGGATCCATCGGTATACCGGATGGTCACCCAGCGCAACCGCCCAGGCTCGATTTGAAACGAAGTGTTGACGGTTTCATACCCGCTTTTCGAGAAGCTATGCGAACGAGAGAGCCTACAATACTCCACACACGAAATGGGACTCTCCCTGAAGGTCTGATTGAG